ATCATTATTATTATTAATTGATTTTATTTTTTCTTCTTCTTCTTCTTCTTCCTATTTCCTTTTCTTGTCTCTTACTTTCTTTTTTGTCCCTACTGTACTCTTGTTGCGGTTTCTGTTTGGCATTTCTTACAAGAGAAAATTCGCCTTTGTCATCGCAAACTTATCCATCATCCACACGCCCGCCGCCCCCCTTCTGGTCTCCCGGGTGGGTTTGTTTTATTTACCCTTCTAAAACCGATCGGAGGAGAGGTCCCCATCCTCGCCAACAACGACCGGAATCCACACCGATGCGTACCTATGGCCCTTCTTAATTTATCATAATTGCTAGTCTCTAAGCCCCGCTGGCCGCATGTGAATCAGAGGGTCCTGGCTGCTCTTGATCGATTATACGGTGTATCAGAAACCTTCTCTCAGGCCACCTCGCCTATTCTCTCGATCTTCTCCTGTGACCGACCACTCCCCCCCCCCTGAGTGAGCTCAAAGCATCCTTATCCACCACAGGATTTTCTGGACGCTATTTTCGCCCATTCACGTCATTCACTTCATTTCCCGTCAATCTCTTGACCAGAAGCCCCGCTACGATCGAAATCCGTGTGGATTGGACAGGCCCAGAATCTTCCCAAGCCCATAACCCCTCCCCTCCCTCCACCCGTCGCGGAATCCCGGTTCATGGGAATCGAGTAAAGCAGCCGAGAAGGGGTTGGGACTTTCGTGGACTTTGGAGCCGCTGGCTGCGCCCTCAATTTCTCTGAAAGTGGTTCCGGCGTCACTAGTGGTCGCCTTGGTTTCAGCCCAATGCCAATCAAGCTTCCTAAGGGCTTCGCCCGTCGAAAATCGTCTAGCAATGCTCTAGAGGAAGTGCAAAATCCTCCCCAGTCGTCATTTCGAGTCTTTGAACGACCATCCGGCGACAAAAAGTCCCTGAGTGATGGTAATTTAGTGGCAAAGCGCTTAAGCGAAGGTCAACCTTTGGATTCCCCCACGGAGGATGACAATAACATCTTCGCTTTGCATAATTCCCAGCCAACAAGACATCAGTATGAGACCCCTCTTTCGTCCGATGAGTTCCTACCCCTTTCCCCCTTCCCGGTAAGAAGTGGCTGAGCTGACCTGGAGTGGTGGTGGAAGTACATTCGAAGGTACATCATCTGCGCGACCTCGCACATCTGCACGCCGTTCAACAGACGGGCCACAGCCCGAATCGCAGTCGCCACACACTCGAAACCTCTACGATATACCAATTCCTCCCCTATCAGGTGCGATTCGCGCAGCTGGTCGCACATTCTCATTCGGCGGGAGATTCTCCAAGACATCTGCGCCGGTACCTCCGCCTCAGCCATCTACACCGGGCCCTTCTAGAAGCAGGGGAATGACAACAAGCACGTCAAGCACTGCAACACCACCAAAGCTTCCCGATACAGAACTTCGAATTGGAAAAATTGACGACGACTTCCAAAATATGTTTGGTGATATTGGAAAGCGTTATTATGGGTCGAAGGACTCTTCTCTTGATCAACCAGTAGACTTGGTAAGATGGAAATTTCCTTTTCTGTATCCAGTATCTCGTTTTCAAGCCTTTCTTGTTGCATTTCCAATCCCATGAAGTAATGCAGCACAACGCTAAACTTTTACTGTAGGACTCACCCGGACCTTCCAGTCGACCAGATGCCTTGCCTCGAAAGGATGAGAGGATCTCACGTCCTGCTCCAATTGATACTGACCGTTCAAGGGAGGTTGAGCCATCACCATATTCTTGGGATAGCCGACATTCGGAGGAGGGCCTGCTAACCACTCTTGATTCACCCAACGAACAATCGACAACACAATCATATCAACGCAATATCGATCCAGTCTCCGTTGGAGACCGGCGCAAATCTATGCCTCTGTCCGGTACTATGCCTTTGGCTACTACCTCCCATCGTTCTTTGGCAAAGCCTCGAACGACGGCGGACGCAGGTTTGAGGAGAAGCGGGGTTTACTCTAACAGGCGGGACTCTGTACCTGTTGAAGACGAGGACGCGAAATTAATCATGGAATCTCTCTACTCTAAAAGGAGCTCGCAAATACCATTCATGGCTGATCACGCAGCTTCGGATGCGGAAAATGATGGGCCGTTATTCGACCAGCCTGGGGCAAAGTCTTCTCGTCCTGATCGCCGGGAATCAATTCAGAAGGACTCATTGAGCTCCCCCGTGCTGTCAGATCACCTGGATCCGTCGATTGCAGCCCATGCCCGTTTGGCTGCACAATACGAGAAAGCACAGCCAGTATCGGTCTCTTCAACGAATAAAGTCATGACCCCATCTCAGTTCGAACATTATCGTCAGCAGCAAGAGCTCAGACGGTCGAACAGCGACGCCTCGAAGAGTGAGAATTCCGCAGAGAGCGATTACGATGACGATGACGAGGTGGAGAAAGACCGTGAGGCCGAGAGACAGCGGCGCAAGCAAGAAGCCCATCTTTCAGTTTATCGCCAGCAAATGATGAAGGTGACCGGCCAGGAATCTCCTACACCAGCTATGAGAACCGAAATGGACCAGGCTAGTAAGAGCGCGCCGAATTTATTACAACCTGGAATTACCTCGGGGAGCGGAAAAAGCAGTGATGGTGATGATGACGAAGAGATTCCTTTGGGCATTCTGGCAGCTCATGGATTCCCCAACAGGAATCGCCCTCCAAGCCGTCTGGCACCATCTAGCTCCATTCCTAACCTTCGGGCGTCTTTCCAGCAACCGTACTTGCCTTCCCCGTCCCCTGCTTCCGTCGCAGAACGGGATCCAAACAATCGCGGGAGCCTGCCTGTTTTTGCGCGAAACTTGCCGCGAGACCCTTACTTTGGAGCCAGTTTGGTGAATCAATCCAACAGAGAGTCTCTGGCCTTTGGAGGAGGAGGAGCATCGGTCCATGGTGGACCTTCGCCAGCGCTACCCCCCGGAGGCCTAGTAGGTGTCATTGCCACGGAGGAGCGAGCAAGGGCAATGCGGCGAGGTAGCCCTAATACCCAAGCCATGTACGACTATCAAGGAGGAATGCCTGTGCCACCTGTTCAACCTGGCGGCATCCCGAGGCCTTACACGATGATGAGTCTAAGCTCGCCGAATACCGGTGGCGGTCAGCCGGCGATTTCTGCGACTGAACAGGCGCAGATAGAATTGTCTCAGCAGATGACGCAAATGGTACAGATGCAAATGCAGTGGATGCAGCAGATGATTCACATGCAAGGCGGACAGAGCACCCAATTAATGCCACCTGGCGGGCCTCCGCCCACGCTAGGTGCCAACCTGAATGCGCGCCCTTCTTCAATGCCCTCAGCTGGTAATATGAATAACGCCCATGCTGGGTACTCGGGCGATCAGCGGACGCTAAGCATGCTTGATCCGAATGTTTCCTCCCGTCTCAATAGTGCAGCTATGCCACATGTATCTGGGGGCCTCCGGCCAAGCACGCCGGCTGGGCAAGGGTATGCGCCGTCTATTGCACCATCGGAACGCAGCAATGTTGGTCTGGCGCCTCGTTACAGACCCGTCTCAACATTGCAACCCGAGTTAGGAAATATCGGTTCTCCGTCCATACCAAAGTCCTGGAATGATGAAAACCGGAAGTCCTCGCTTTCAGCCGCAGTCCCGCCGCCACAGGCGTCTCATATGAGCCACCGTCCCATGCCAAGTGATAGCAAACCGATAAGGGCTAGCAAGCCGAGTACTGGTGCGGAGCAGGATGACGAGGACGATGATGAAGGCTGGGCCGAAATGATGAAGAAACGAGAAAATAAACGCAACAACTGGAAGATGAAGAAAGAAACGTCGAGCTTTGGAGATCTGTTGAATGCTGTGCATTAGACAGGCTGTCAATTGACATTGTTTGCCCTCGCAGCAGGGGTATCATGTCCTGTGCATGTTATGCTTTCGCTTATTTTTGCTTGGCTGTGCTTTTGCCATCGAAGTCCCGTGCTCTTTATAGGGACCTGAAGGAGTTATACCTCACTTTGTGCATTTGTGAGCAGTGAATATTGTTTTTTCCCAGCTATTTCCTATTATTGTTGGCGTGTTCACCTCTTGCGTTTCCCTCTACTTTCCCTTCCGTTCTTTTCTATATTGTTTTACCTTCTTGGACATGACCTGATCTTTCTCAACGTTTATACGAGGGGTATTCTCTCCCTGATCTCCCAGTTTCTTAATCACTATTAAAGCAGGGTGCGGGATCATGACAGGCGTTTTTACGGATTAATGATTTCCAACCCAATGAGGGTTGTAATTGGATTGCTTTAGCAAGTTGTGCATGCATTTTCTGTCTTGTATACTCAATGTGTAGTAGCCGATTAACATTACAATTTACGGTTGAGAAAGTCGATATCTGTGGCTGATATCTATATAATAAATAACCTGATCAGATTCCCCAAATGCGGATGGGAAGCATTAGCTCAAATATCATATAATTGCGTAGTTTATCCCAAGATCCAGCGCAGCAGCTAGAGTCAAAAGTCGTGCGGCGTGAAAGTAGCTTAGTAACCAAACACAGTCCATCCACTTGGCCCACTCGGACAATGCCCATCACGTGATCAATATCACGGGATTTCAACCTTATTGGAGCTTGTCATGACCAGCCACTCTGCAATTCCAGCATTGCAGCATCATTTTCCCAACAGTACGGCGGGAGTTTCCAGTCATATATATACATAATTACCCCATCAGGTGATTTAAATAACTCTCATACTAATCGCGTGTTGGTCAGACAACTAACTCAATTCAAAGGTCCAACTGAGCAAGGGAAACAGTGGCAAAGCCAACGTGAAAGGCTAGAAGTTGCACACTAAGTTGTATTCAAATCTATTTGGATACACCGATTCATTCTCTGCTCCACCTCTACAGCACTTTGCTCGTCTTTCTTGGTGGCCGTTCACTTACAGGCCTAACAAAAACACGAGTTATTCAATATCCCTTCCAGCTATTTCACTTTTTTTTTTTGGTATACGCACCTTTGGATATAACCAAGACTACAAAATGAACGCACCAGACCGGTAGGTGGAACGTTCTTTTTACATATACGCAATCTGTATTGTAGCATGTTCTATTTCACTTGGCTTTCCCTCCTCTTTTGGCTTGTTCTAGGCTCAGGAGCTGTTAACTGGAGCGAATGGTGTGACAGTGAAGTTTCATTGTGGACGGAGCTATCAACCGGGCACATGCTCTTGCCTTCCCACTCTATTCACTGCCCCAGGGTGCCGGACTATGTTCTGGATTCTACTTGTGCCCCTCTCTTTTTGCCCCAGTTCATTTCAATGTTTATGCCCCTTTGTTCGGATTTCTCATTGAATGAATCGATCTCGTGCTTTGCGTTGTCTTCACCCTTGAGCATTTCTGTCATATACGAATCTTTCCCGGACACATCCATTTTCAGAATGGAGTCCATCATGCCTGCGGAAATGGTGTATGCGCGCCTGAAGAATGGCAGTGGTGGATCTCGCGTCCGCTGCCAGTCCACCATCAACGTTTCTCATGACCAGCAGCCGAGGTCCGCTTCGGGTTTTCTTTGATGATTCTACTTTCCTTCATTTTTGAAGTGTCCGTTACATCCAGTCCACTGACGCAGTATGAAACCTAGATACGAGTCGTTCGTTCTTGCGAATGGCGAGAACAAAGTTGAGATGGAGATCGATACTCGTATGTCATCTAAACCTCGGACCTAAACGGCTTGCGTTCATTGCTAACATGGGCTTCTCATGCCAGGCATCCCTTCGTCTGCGATCTTCACCTTTAACAAGGAAGATCACACATTGGGAAATTTGATCCGCTCTCGCCTCTTGCAAAGCTCCCATGTTCTCTTCGCTGCGTACAAGGTATGTCTGCGATGGTGATATATACTCGCCTCTAGTTCCGGGCACTCTTTAAGCTCCTAGTTGTTGCTTTTCTTAGATCTATTGAGTTAGTATGCGTCAGGGCTGACGTGACTGTCACAGGTTCCCCATCCGCTTGTTCCCAATTTCCAGCTTCGAGTTCAGACTGATGGCGATGTCACCCCCAAGGATGCGGTAATCGCAGCCTGCCATGAGCTCGTTCGGGACCTGGGTATTCTCTCCCGGGAATTTACCAAGGAATATGAGCTCCGTAAGATGGTGGGGGCTACCGCTCAGCAGCAGAATGGCGTCCAGGATGGTGTTTAGCCATCGACAGGTGGAGATAGAGCATGAAGAGCTGGGTCAGCGGTCACATACATGCTTTCGCTTCGGATATACGCAGCTGGTCATGCGTGTCTTTGTTTCTTGGTCATACCCTTTATTCTATGTTTGTTCTCTTTGCTTCCAGTGATTAGTCGGACCAAGCCTTTCGCTCCAACCTGCCTCAGGACAAAATGTCAATTGCTGCCGTAGCCGTTACTCATTCAACTCATCCCCCCGTCTGTCTCGTTCCCATTTCTTGTAAAATTGGGACTGGTAGCAACATAGATTGAAGAGAACCGTCTGGCATGCCCATTGGGGTAGCGTAGATAGTGTAGATAGCTTCTGGACTCATCGTGATAGCTACCCGATGGAGCTTAGTGTGCCGCTCCGCGGACTCCCCCATCGGCGGGCGTCCCTGATTACGTAACTGGGGGCAGCGTCACTGCTCCTGATCGGATGGATGCTCCTGATCCCCCCTCTCCGTCGTTGCCTGGCCACTTCCTATGCTTCTCCTCTTTCTCATTGTGCGCCATCAGCTTGGTTTTCTGCTTCCTCGGCATTGTTAATCGCTTCTTCGTTAGCCTGTCTTTGATGTTTGTCCTGTCTTTGATGCAACCCTTACTCCGGTAATGTACTCTTCATCCAACACCTTCCTGGGCGGCGCCAACAGCGCACGTCCGGGACAGCCTTTCATGCAGCAGTCTCCATACTCGCAACAATTTGCCCCTGGCCAACATCAACAACAACAACCGCCACAGCAGGGTGGATTTGCGCCTCAGCCGACTGGCTATGGCCCTCAAATGTCCAGTTTCGGGGCCTCTCAGCTGCAGCCTCAAGCCACGGGGTTCCCGGCTGGTCAGCTCCAACCTCAGTTTACAGGGTTTCCGGGCGCAGTACCACAATCGCAACCAACTGGCTTCCAGCCCCCGGTTCAGCAGCCCCAGATCACCGGTTATCCCGCACAGTCGCAGCCTCCGCAGTTCCAGGTTCCCGCAAGCACTGGCCTCCCTGTTCGTCAGGCGCCTCGGACTTCGTCGGAAATAGCGGATTCGTTCCAAGATGTTGCTGGCATGGCTCCGCCTCCCCCACCTAAGGCGTCTGCCAGTAAGATACCAAACATTCGGCTCTCCTTCATCACTGCGCAGGACCAGGCAAAATTCGAGCAGCTCTTCAAGTCTGCGGTTGGAGATAATCAGACAATGAGTGGTGATAAAGCAAAGGAGCTTCTTCTGCGGTCAAAGCTGAATGGGAGTGATTTGTCCAAGATCTGGTGTGTATCCGGTTAAATCCTATAGATCGGAGTGAAGGTGTTAACTATTACAGGGTGCTCTCGGATTCTACCAAGTCTGGGCAGCTCTTCTTCCCCGAATTTGCCTTGGCTATGTACCTATGCAACTTGAGAATCACGGGTAGAGAACTGCCAAGCGCCCTCCCTGAGAAGATCAGGAACGAAGTCTCCAGCATGGTGGACATCATCTCCTTCCAAGTCCCTGATACTCAGCCGGAACCCGCTGTGAGAACGAATGTACCAAATTTCGATGCACCTCTCTTAGAGAATAAATCTGCTCCCCCCGCCCCCCAGCAGCCACAGCCACAGCAGCCGAGTAATGCGCAGCTTCTCACACAGCTCACAGCGCAGCCCACGGGTTTCCCTCAGCCGACGGGGTTCCAACAAAGTCAATCCCCTTTTCCGGGCCAAAACTCTGCCCTTGCCCCGCAAGCCACTGGCTTTCCTGGACAGTCCCAGCAATTACAGCCACAAGCCACTGGATTTATGACCAATCCTCAGCCAACTGGGTACAGCGGCCCTCGTCCTCCAATGCCTCCAATGCCTACCGGCTTCGGGTCAAATTTGAGTCCTGCTCAAACTGGAGGAGTATCGGCTCTGGCCGCGCAGCCTACAGGAATCCCAGGGCAATGGGGCTTCGTGAATGCGCCGGCAACTGGCTTGCCTAACATAGAAGCTCTCAAGCAGCAACTGATGCCGCAGCCAGGCCGCGAAGGTGGATTCACTACAGTCGGTCTTTCTGGAAACGCTCATATTCCCTGGGCCATCACCAAGGAAGAGAAGAAGATTTATGACGATCTGTTTCGAGCCTGGGATGGTTTCCGCAAAGGCTTCATCGGTGGTGATACTGCTATCGAAATTATGGGACAAAGTGGTCTAAACCGGTCTGATCTGGAACGCATTTGGACGCTAGCCGATCCAAACAACAGGGGACGCCTGAACATGGATGAGTTTGCCGTGGCAATGCATCTAATCTACCGGAAATTGAACGGGTACCCAGTCCCGAATCGTCTGCCCCCGGAGCTTGTTCCCCCATCCACCAGGAATTTGAACGATTCGATAGGCACGATTAAGTCCATGCTTTCTCAAGATGCAGAGAGCCGAAAGGCGTCTGGCGCGTTCTTGCAACCACAGAAGACTGGTGTGAGCTACCTGAAAGAGCACTCCTTTCGTGGTGGTGCAGTGTCTCCGGGTGTAGGTCGGAAAGATGCTACACTATTCAAGAATAACGACGAGGCGGCTGCTGGGTATCGCTCCAGCGCGCGTCGTCGAGTTGGCAACAATGGCCGTACGCCATCACCTGCTGCTTCCCAGGCTTCCGAGGAAGAGCTGTCCGTGGACCAGCTGAAGAAAAAGATTCGTGAAGCCCAGATCATGTTGGATGCGGTGGATTTCCAAGACGAAAATCAAGCGGAAGAGGATGATGCTCTAGATCGGCGAGACCGCAGGGAAGCGGAGAGTCTTATGGACCGGATACGACGGGTACAGGACGATATTGACACCCATCCTGATGCTTCCTTCCGTAATCTTGATACCGGGGCCGAACGGAGGTCGCTACGTCGTCAGCTGCAGGCCTATGAGGATCAAGTCCCGCAAGTGGCATCAGAAGTAAGGCGTGTTGAGCGGGAAATCGCGGATGTTAGACTTGAATTATTCCGCCTGAAGGATGCAAAGGAACATCCTAACAGTGCATCCTCTATCGTGGGTACAGGCCCAGGGGGCACAGTCACTGAAGCCGATCGTATTAAAGCCCGTGCCCGTGCCAGAATGCAAGCCCGCGCCGCTGAACTTGCCGGAAGGCCCGTTCCCGCCAGCCAGGACGACGATGGAGCTGCAACTCGCCGACTCGAGGCCGAGAATGCTACCGTTAAAGCTGAAAGGGAGAGAAACGAGACCATGACTCGCGACGTCGAGGAAAGTGTTAGAGAGTTTGCGCGGAGTCTGGAAGACAGTCTTAAGGATGGTGGTGAAAGTTCGACGCGTGAGCATGAACGGCGACGCTGGGAGGACGCCTTGGGTGTTGAAGATGTGGTTCGCGACTTTATCTACGATTTGAAGCGTAGCAGCCGCACCGCGCATGTTCGCAAGGAAGAGTAAGTATCTTCACTCTCTCCTTGGAAGATTCGAGTTTTATCATACAGGAGGGCATACACTAATCATTGACCAGACAACAAAGAGCAGCAGATACGCAAAGCCAGCGGTCCCGCTACGATGAGTCGCCACTGGGAGGCGCAGCTGCTTCGCAACATTCCCCGACGCCTACCGGCTCAGTCGTATCAGCTGGCTCTACGCATGAGGACCGTGTTGCGGCTGCTAGGGAGCGTGCGCAGAAGCGGATCGCTGAACGGATGGCTGCTGCAGGGCTCAAGCCCCACAGTGACGCAGGAGAAACTCTGCTTCAACGGCAGGAGCGCGAGAAAAAAGAACGTGAAGAGCGGTTGAGGCGAGCAGAAGAAGAAGATGCTAAGCGGGAGCAAGAGCGACAACGTCGTCTGGCCGAAGAGCAGGGTGGCCCTACGGCGCAATCTGCTAAGCCGGCTGGAAAGAAGCCTCCTCCAGCACCGCCTTCTCGGAAGGGTCGGACTGACAGTGCAGGCCAAGCCGAGGCAAAGAAGGCAAGGGAGGAAGCAGCTAAAATAGAGCAATCTACACGGGGACAAGCTATTAGAGAGGAACAGCAGGCGCAGGAAGAAGAGACAGCCCGCCTAGAGTATGTAACCCTTGCCAGCCCTACTATTGATTGTCGATGCCGTTACACAAACTAACATCTTTTACCAGGACTGCCGCCAGAGAACGCGAAGCAGAATTCCTGAAGGAGAAGGAGGCCCAGGAGGCCCGTCTTGCCGCACTGCAAGAACAGGTCCGACAAGGGAAGATCAAGAAGCAGGAAGAGAAGCGTCGCAAGGAAGAGGCAGCCCGTGCGGCCAAAGAACAGGAAGCGAGACTCGCCACCCAGCGTGCTGAGCTTGAAATGGCCAAAGAACGCGAGCGTCAGCTTCAATTGGAGCTGGAAGGCTTGGATGAGAGTTCCTCGGATGAAGAAGGCCCTATCAACATCACGCCGCAGGACAGTACTCCGACTCAGAGTCAAGTTCTTCCTGCCGCAGATACTGCAGTGTCGACCCCAGCTCCTGCGCCTTCGGTTCCAGCTCCAGAGCTAGAAGTCGTGACCAGTCCCGCTGAGTCTGCTAGTAGCCACGCTGCGCCCACCAGTCTTAGCCCAGAAGCTGAGTCCAAGAACCCTTACTTCAAGAGAATCAGCCAGTCCGACAGCCAGGTGCCGCCTCCACCACCTGCACCTCAGCCTGCCGCTCCAAAAGCCGAGTCTCAATCGACCAACCCTTTCCATCGGCTGGCACAGCAGCAGGAGAGCTCCAAGCCTGCCTTTACTGCGCCCGGTCCACTGGAGCGCAAGTCTCGAGTGCGTCCCGAGGCGGATGATGACTGGTCGGCGGCTGGATCGGAGTTTGACGACTCTTCTGATGATGACGATGAACGGCCGGGTGGTGGTAGCGCGAAACAACTCGCAAGCATCTTGTTCGGCACCATGGCTCCTCCCCGGCCCCTGAGTGCTATGGATGACAAGACTCCTTCAAAGTCGTCTACTCCCGTCCAGGACAGTCCAGCAACCCCCGCACCGCCGATTGAGGCAGCTGAACCCCCCGCTGCCCCCGCTGCTGTGCCTCCTCCCCCGCCGCCCCCGCCTGCCCCCGCC